CCATATGTTAGTATGTTATTACCTCCCAACAACCTTTTGCTAGATTGGATCCTTTCACTTTAGTTTTCCCCCCTTGTCTATGTGGAGTAGTACTTTTTTGTTTAATTTTTATCCTTGGAAATGGAATAAAATTACCATTCCAAAAGATTGGGAAATAATCCAGTTTATGATGATACTAATATAATATTCATGTACTACATGTTGGTTTTTCGACGTACGTACCCAGCATACGCACAGCGGAATTTTAAAATTTTATTACCAACAATGAAGATTCGGTTATAGCTATTCGATATGATCCTAGATCGCGTGAATACACGAAAACTTACAGTTATTCGTCTTGTCCTTGACTATGGTATGCACGCAATGCAGTTTCTCGATGCACGATTTAACGCTAGTGAATCCATTCCGGTGAAGAAAATAGGAATCCTCGATCCGGAAAGCTAGAGAGTGTTTTTATCTTAATCTCTCAATCTCTAAAATTTTGAATCTCTCAAAGTGTTTCTCTCTTTGCATCGTTCCATGATGTTTGATTATGAAAAGATAATGTGATACTTATAATTAGGTCAAAACCTAATTATTTGGGTCTTAGGATACCCTACAGCCCAATAGGTAATTGGACCTAATCCAATTAATATTTTAATTAAATATAAATCTAATTTAACTTAGTTAAATATTTTTTTCCTTCACATAGAAAATAATCTCATTACTCATAAATAAATATTTCAATCTAATTGAATATTTAACACTCTCGTCTCACTTTTAGTCGGAAAACTGATTGCATATTGTGTGACCCTATAGGCCTTCATATATTGACATAAATATGATTTATGATCCTTACGAAACTCCTAGACTGCGTCGAAGGAAGAACTCAAAATGTGAAGTACGTCATGGACAAACAATGGTTGATTTTTAATAATTATATTTGAACACTATTTCAAACATAATCACGTGCATTTGCCAATGACTTTATCAACTCAGTATAAAGAAAATGAGTGTTCTCTCGAAACCATATTCGAGGAATGAATCCTATCTTGACTCAACTACCAATTCCATGTATATCGTGATCTACCCAACACAAGCTCGTGTTTATCCATAAGGGCGTAAGCGTTGGGCTAGGTCTAAGTAAATCACTATATACATGAATTGCGTAATTGACCTCCAGTCAAAGGACTATTACACCATTTCTCACACTGATACTACATAGACACATAAACAAATGGTTTATCGATAGGGTATGCCAATACTCTCCAAAGTATCCATGTATCTATCACAAATAACAATTATTCATAGCAGTGAGACATACTATATTCTCCAAGAATATGGTGCAGACCACATGTCAATCTATTGTGTATCATTAATGTCCCTTTCTTAATGATCATCGATTGAGGCGATTTGAGAGTTATACTTTATCAATTAACATCTCAATTTGTTAATGATAATATTAATTCAAGGGAGCAATTAATTAATAAATTGCAAATAATCAAACAATCATTTAATTAATTGCAATACCATAATTATAATCCAGTATAATTATTAATGTAATCATGTGTATATGTCCATAAAAAGATTGTCTCTAGAACACATATACCAAACCTACACAGGTAAATTGATATAATAATTGAGTACAACAAAAGAAAAGAATATATTTATCTATTTTGTTGAAGTTTAAAAAATAAATAAATATATAACAATTTATAATAAAGAACTAAGTGAATTGACAGTATTATATCCATTTACGAAGGTGCAAACCTGGCACTTAGACTCAGCGCGTTCTGAAATTATATATAAAGGGGATGTGATGACCTTTTCGTCAGAAAATGGAACTTTGTATAGGCTTCCTTTAGGGTTATAGAAAACAACTTATTCCCAAAGATAAATTCCATCCTAATGTGGTACTGATCCACTGATCCAATGTAAGCTTTAGTCACCTGATCAATATACGCTCGTACAATTATTTTATTGGCGGTGTGTTGATCCGGCATCTAAAATCTCTACATCGCTTGGGGTAGTAAAATGTAATGCTTTCAAGTCACTTTAGATGTGAGAGAAACTAATAAAATTTGCATCTATCATTAGTAGAATTTGAGTATATATTTTATGGGAATATTTTCATTTTGATATCCAAAATATATCAACTTTTCGCTTTTAGTACTCGAAGATCCAACCTAATCAATTTTGTTCACTAAAGTTCTCAAAATGAATCGCTTTTGGTCCATCTACTGGCAAATTTCAACAAATTATAGACCATTTTGAATATCTCGACTCGACCTTGCCAAATGATATCTATGGTTTCACCATGCGATATCTCGAGATTCGTCAAAATCGTCGCTAAAGGTCCCTTTGACAATTGATTTTTAATGACCAAAATTGATTAAGTTAGAACCTTTAACGACGATGTTTACGATCTCGAGGTATCGTATGCTAAAGTAAATGGTATGTTGGATAGATTGAATCGAGAAGTTTAATATGGTATATGATTTGTTGAAATTCGTCATTCGAGGTGAAAGGCGACAACCGTCAGTTTTAACATTTTTTTAACGTTTGGACCAAAAGCGATTAAGTTTGAAAACTTTAGTGACAAAAAATAATTAAATTAGAACTCGAATACCAAATGCAAAAATGTGGTATATTTCGAGTACATATTTTTTTCTTCTTTTTTGATAGGGAAATTCGACTCTAATTAAAGTTAAGCATAGGTTTGAAAGTAATCAAATTTGAAAAAGTTCATTAAAACTTGATGCAGATCCAAATTCAGTAAAAGTATTTAAATTAATATTATTATTCTTGGCTTACATCAATCCATTCACTCACATATATTGGTATAATTCTTTACAAATAAAGCATTAGACATTTATGATAGTTGAATATTTTCTTTCAAGGAACTAAGGTCGTAGAACTTCTAATTGTTTCTTGCAAAAATTTCGAATACAAAGCAACAAATATTTCCATAAATTAATATTTGTACCCTTTTTCCCTCTATTCAAGAAAATTTGTCACGAGGAACTCATAATTGTTCCTTACAAACGAATTGAAGTAACATGTATGGTGGGACTCGGGAGCCCCACATTTGTTATCTATGTGACTTTTGGTGGTAACATGCAAATTGCCTTTCAACTGGGGTTCAACTGGTAACAGTTTAAATGATCTTTTGTTTTGAGCTTCAGTGACTTGCGAAACACGTCGGGGAAGAGTCTCGACAGAAAACCTCCAAAGCTAAAGGCATAATCTTGCTCACAAATATACTGAAAATTGTATGCAAAAGGCGTAATAATACGTTATGTAAAAACAAAACCTCGTAACTCCTTATATTCCTGGATTATCTTCTTGCCCAAGTAGAGTCTCTGCTACGAAAGAGATCTAACCATATCTTCTTTCTTAGCTTAGCATATCTCAAATATCAAAGACTCCTTAGCGAGATATACTTTCTATCCTTAGTAGGATTTTGTTCTAATTTTTTCCTACGGCTCTTAGGCCTTTAGATCGTCTTAGACACCTGGCAACCCAACTGCCTTGAAGGTATACAAAGTTGAAACCATGACCTTTATCGTACGACTTCAAGGTCGTAATATTTCCTCCTCTATTCGAGCCCTAGATGAGCTCAACTCCTCAATCATCTAAGTAGGTCGACCCGTACCTCGAGCTGCCAAAGTGAGCTCCCCGGCGAGGTCAAATGTTAACATCGAGTTGAGGCTCCCTAGGGCAGGCAGCGGCTGAGCTAACCACTCAAGTCGGTTCAGTGAGCTAATCTAGGTGTTATATCATCTAGTCCCCATATTCTTGAATGAGGAACAAGGACTTCTGCAAGAATGATGTCTCGTCATTGCTCTCAGCCTCCCCTTTAAACCTTAAATGCCATTTATTGGATGGCCTACGGAATCGTGCTTGTTAGAGACGCTTTAAAAACCCTATGCGTCTGCTACTCTAGATCGTCAATCTTTCACCAGATCAGCGCCAACTAAAACCCGACCTTTCGCCGTCAATCCCATCACTTTTTCCTGGTCATCGTGACCACTGATAATGCACATTATCCGGCGATTGTGCTCCCTTTTTGTGCTATAAAAGCCGCACAACTCTACCATTTCCACTTTTTTTTGGGATCGGCAAAGTGATGCTTGGATATAACTATTTTTGTTGGATTTTTTAGTTTGGTTTGGTTAATTTTTATAAGGTGGTATGGTTAGCTATTAGTGGATGTATTAAAAAATATTTTAAATAAAATAATTAAAATTGATTTGATATAAAAGTAGAAGAGGGGTGATTTGAAATTGTGGTTAGTTAAAATTATGTGGGTGGATGAATAGTGAATTAAGGTTGTTGTGGTGTGTAAGAATCATGATTGGTATAATTTAATTATATTGATGATATTGATGATAGTGTGATCAAGTTAAAAATTGAGTTAAAAAATAGGTGAGTTAAAAATGTTGGGATTTCTTTTATTTTTTTAAAAAAAATATTTGTATCCAAGTATCCTCTAAGGATCTCATTATGTACAAGTCATGAATTTTAGCAATAAAAAACATACAAGCAGCGGATCTTGAGGTTTAGCGTTGAAAACTTACGGCTTAAAATTGCAGATTCTCAT